AAACCACCAGAAAACCGGAAGTGGCGTTGTAGCTCAAGTGGTAGAGCGCTCGCCTTGAGCTGAAGAGCTGAGGGACAATGCCCAAGCCCAGAGTTCAAGCCCCACGACCGACAAAAAAAAAAAAATGATTTTAGTTTATTATACTTGAAGGTATAATTTCATTCTCTTACAGATTCTACCCCTTTTTTTTCCATACCTGGGTTTGAACCCAGAGCCTTAGCAAGTGCTCTACCACATGAGCCTTGCTTTTGCTCTTTCTGCTTTAGATTATTTTTTTCTACAGATCTTGTGCTTTCTGCTTAGGCTGGCCTCAGATCATGATCCTCCAGCCTGTGCCTCCTGTGTGGCTCAGATTAACCTTGCTTGTGAGTCAGAAATACTGGCAGCTCAGACCTCAAATTTCCCACTGTTTTCTCTGCAGCCCTCAATAATCTCCCAGTGACCATGACTTGCTTTCTTGGGCATGGGGTTTATACCATTCAGTAGAAATGTGGGTTTATACATCAGTGATTTTCCTGGAGTTTATTCCAATCACTTTTCACTTCTCTATTTTACATCAGCATTTAGGTTGAAGTTGACGCTATGTGTACTAAGTTGTTTGTGGCATTTTGAAGTAGGAATTGACAGACCTCGTTGGCTTTGTAGGAAATGGCCCTGTTTAAGGAGGTCAGATGTCTGCAGATCATCCCGCCTTCCTTGGTGCAGCCGCTGAGAGCAAACACTTCCGTCCATCTGGCGATGAGCCAGGTGGACCTGCTGGCCCGCCTGCTGAGGGACCTGGGCACGGAGAACTCGGGCTTCACCGTGGACAACGTGATGAAGGTGAGCAGCCGGCGGGGGGGGGGGGCATCTCATCCATGTCCCACGAATGAATGAATCACTCTAGAAAAATAACCAGGTCTGTCCAACACCTGAGAGCCCCTTGAGTCTTTTCTGTCTGCCGACCTTTGGGGTGTGTGGTTTGCACAGATCAGAACGTGGTATGTGAGAGAGGTAACGGCCACACTGAATAGGTACATCAGCACAGCCACCTTCCTGGCTAGCCTGGACCACTGATACCAACCCTCAATCCCCATCCCAGGCTCCTCCACTCTGAGTGATCACAGCTGAGGCCATGGCCGTGCTCTGCTTTGACTGCCCAGGGCCCTGTCTGGCTCGCCTTGCCAGTCCTGTCCTGAGCTCCACTCTGTAGACCTCATCAGGGGCAGCCAGCTGTAGGCCAGGGCCACCAGGGCCCCGTTGTTCCTGCCATTTTTCCTGCTCTGACATTATTTATGGCTCTGGTCTCCTGGCGGTTGTGTTCAGTTCTGTTCAGGCAGCCTCTCACTTTGTGGTCCCAAGCTGGCCTTGAATTACAGTCTTCTTGCCTCACCCCTGAGTGCTAGGCTACAAGATTTGTGCCTGCATGCCTGGCTTTGCTGCCGCCTCTCCCCTGCCCACAGGTTGGAGTGCTTATTTCTCCAGGGCCAGAAAGCAGGCCTGCACACGCAGGTGTTTGCCGTGGCACCTCACCCACTTCAGACCAGGCGAGGCCTTGGTCGCAGGGAGCTTTTGTGTACGGCGAACACTAGGGTTTCAGTGGCTAAAAGTTGATCACTCTCTGTGGCTGTGGTTCCATGCCATTTACAAGGCTGGAGGGCACAGATAAAGCAGGACCAAGGGCCTGAGCGGCCAGGCACGCAGCAAGGTATGAACAGACAAGCCAGTCTCAAACAAGGAGGTCGGCCATGGCTGCGGATGGACAGTGAGGGCTCCGTGAGGTGGTCATTATGAGGTCTGCGCCCAGGGCACCCCACAGTGTGGCTTGAGTCCAACGTGTGCAGCCCGAGACTCTAGGCAGTCCTAGAGTCTGGGTCACATTCCTCTTGGCCCCATGGTACCGAGGAGGGAGGAGACCGGGTGCATGGGGGTCTCTGAGGGGACAACTGAACACAGGGGCTGGAGAGGCGGGTGGCAGAAGAACAACAGGGTGCGGTCACAGTCACAGGATGGGCCAGCGCCACCCTGTGCACACACGCTGCAGGAAGGAGGGCGCGCACGTTGACTGTAAGTGATGCCGACGCTCAGGAAGGCTAAGACGAGGCCAGCCACCCCTCAGTGCTTCTGTTTCTTACAACAGACAGGTACAAAACAACTGTAGCTAACTCTCAACAGCAGATCTGTGAGGGTCACTGTATTTCCTCTTCTACGCGTTTGAAATGCCTTGTGCTCATCATATGAAATCTATGAACGGGTCAAGGCCCACCAATGCTCGCGGGTGCAGGGCAGAAAGAACACAAGGCACACATGTGCAGTGTGTTTCTCTCGAAAACACACTGTGTTGACACAGGAGACCTGAGCGCTATCTTTACTTACCAAACTTGTATAATGTGCCTCTAATTGTTCTTAGCTAGAAACAAAGCTAACGTCATTAGTCTGAGCATCGGTAACAACTAGAGTAGCCTCCTCCTTTCAGTTCGCAGTGAGCGCCCTGGAGCACAGAGTGTATGAGGTTCGAGAGATGGCGGTACGGGTGATTCTGGACATGTACCAGGAGCACCAGGCCCTCACCCTAGAGTACCTCCCTCCAGACGACAGCAGCACACGCCGGAATCTTCTCTACAAGACGATTTTTGAGGGATTTGCTAAAATAGATGGCAGGCCCACGGATGCTGAAATTAGGGTGAGTTTGCCCTCGCGGTAGATGGATGAAGCCACATGGGGAGCTTGGGCAGGTGCATTCGGGGATACAGCTAAGAGTGATGCTTCCCTTAGTTCAGGACCTGGCTCCTACACTGTGAGTGCTGAGTGCTGAGGCCATGAGCCAGTGGCTCGCAGCTGAAATCCTAGCTGTAATCCTCAAGAGGCTGCGATCTGAGGATCGTGGTGTGAAGCCAACCCAGGCAGGAAAGTCCAGGAGACTCTGATCCATCTCCAATTAACTACCAAAAAGTCAGAAGTATAGCTGTGACACAAGTGGTACAGTGCCAACCTTGAACATAAAAGCTAAGCCCTGAGTTCATGCCCCAGCACTGGCACCAAAAAGAAGAAAACATCTTGGTTCCCCCAGTCCTGGCTCTTCCACTAAGAAAGCTGGTTCTCTGAACTCCATTCCTGGCTCTTCTGCCTCGTGCCAGTGAGACCCTCACACCCCAGCCTGGGTGGACCAGCGGTTGGCACCTCTGTCTCCCATGAATCCTAACCTGTAGGATTTAGTTAATCGGAGCATAACGTGTCAGCAACGCACCTCACACATCTCCCACGATCAGAAAGCCCTCCTCACAGGAAAATGATTTTTTCCAGGCACAGAAAAGAGCAGCTACAGAAGAAGCAGAAAAACAAAAGAAAGAGGAAATCAAAGTTCTGCAGGGGCAGCTGGCGGCCCTGAAGGAAATTCAGGCTGAAGTCCAGGTCGGGAAAGTTCACACTTCCTTTGCTGCTTGGTACAAATGGTATCTTTGCGGCTTCTGAGTTAGTTTAGGTTAGGGAGTTGGAATCAAATGTCAAAAACCCAACCCCTCTAGCTGTGGGGCTTGTAGGAAGTTGCTGCAGGTAGACAGAGGAGGTCCAGGTAGGGAGGAGACGAGGGACAAGGGAGAGAGTTTCTCTCTGACGGAAGGTCTGATTTCAGCACACTTGTGAAGGAAGTGTGTAAATACTCCTCACCTGGAGGCCTTCACCCAGGACTGGGGACATACCACCTGCGCTGGGACCAGATTCTATTTGGCTGGATAAAAATGTGTCCTTCTAAACTGCCCAGTGTCTGGGGTTGCAAATAGTCTTGTAACCTGAATATTGTAGTTAAGTTCCTAAATTGAAAGAAAGCACCTTAAGAAGAAAGGGGTGAGCCAGGCACTGGTGGCTCATGCCTATAATATTAGCTACGCAAGGGGCTGAGATCTGAGGATCGTGGCTTGAAGCCAGCCCAGGCAGGAAAGCCTGTGAGACTCTTTTATCACCAATTAACCATCAAAAAGCCAAAAGTGGAGCTGTGACTGTAGTGGTAGAGCGCTAGCCTTGAACAAAGAAGCTCAGAGATAGCGCCCAGGCCCTGAGTCCAAGCTCCAGGACTGGCAAAAAAAAAATGTTCATGGGTTTGAGGTATAGTCTGCAACATGCACGAGGTTCTTGCTGGCGGCCATGGCTGCCTAGCTCTGCATGCTCTCATGGCACATGCTAAAAAACCAGCAGTGTGCACTGGGCGGATTGGAACCTAGGCCTGAAAACACTGCTGCTGGGTAAGAGCAGCCACAGCAGCTTTCCACCAGAGGTCAGGAGTCAGGAAGGAGCAGCCAGAAAGTTCAAAGGCAGGAAGGGCTCAAGGAGCTGGGGCCGCAGCCAGGGCCTGGGCCAGGGCTGCCACACAACCCTGTGCCACAGGTTCCGGGCCACTAAACGCTTTTCACCACTCAGTGGCCGTGACAAACTGGCAAGGACCTGAAGGTCCTTCCTTGTGACACAAGGCTTATGCTGACCAAGGGCAAACTCAGTGACGGACGTCTCTGTTTTGTGTCCCAGGAGAAGGAGAGTGCAGCGGTGATGCCCGCCATTCAGGGTAGGTGGATTCACACCTGGAAACCGCCTCTGCTCATTCCCCAGCTCCAGCAGCCAATCCTGCTCAAATAAGGGGTTCCACAAAAGGTGACTGACATTGTTCTCTTTTGATCCATCTGTCAGACCCTCAGGGAAGGAGAGTGGCCCCGCCTGCTGCCCCGGACGCCCCGGACGACCATTATTTGGATAAGTGAGTCACGCTATCTTTACCTCACGGTGTGATAACTGTGGTAGAAAGTCTTACAACTTCTCCCTGTTCACTGCGATGACTCCATTAGCGGGCTCTTAACCATGATTTTAAAGCGTGGAAAAAACACCCTACACCAACAAGCTCGAGTTAGACAGGTCCCTGCCCTGCACCCCACCCAAGTCACTAGCTCCACAGCCCCTGTCTGCACCCCAGCACGAATCACCGCCCTGCTGCCCCCAAATTCTGTGTCAGCAAAACGCTTTTCACCGCTCAGTGGCCATGACAACCCTTCATGGACCTTAAGTGTCTTCCTTCCTTGAGCTCGAAACCATCCTGCGTGTTGATGGCCGCTGACAAGGGGCAAACTCAGAGGAGCCTTCGGTTGATTTGTCTCAGCCACCTGCTTGGCAGAGACTGCTCTGGCGTCTGAACGGGCCCCTCAGCCCTGCCACCCTCCCAGCGAGGTCCAGCTGGCCCTCAGAGCAGGCCTGAGCACTTCCGGACAGGAGGACGCCTGGCCGGGATATGTTAGGAATGTCCGCGTGGGCTGGGCGCGGAGGGGCCCCGGCGTGAGACCCTTGTGCTCTGTTGCAGTCTCTGCATTTTTTGTGGGGAGAGGAGCGAGTCCTTCACCGAGGAGGGCCTGGACCTGCACTACTGGAAGCACTGCCTCATGCTGACAAGATGCGGCCACTGCCGGCAGGTCAGGCGCGGGCGGCCCCGCGGCTCCGCAGGGCAGTCCCTGTGCTGCTGCATGGTGGACTGTCACCCCCAGCCCACCGTGTCCCCACCCCAGAGGGGTCCCCACTTAATTCACACATCACACATCTGAGGAGAATTGTGCCGCGCTGGCCATCACGTCTTCCCTATGGTTCATGCTTTTTATGAGCCGCTTGAGAATTCTTCCCTACAATAATTATTTTAAGTTTTTTAATTTATTGGCAGTACTGAGGTTTGAACTTAGGGCCTTGCAGGACAGGTGCCAACCTGCCTCCGCGGTGCTCCTTTTTGGTGTGTGTATTGAACTCAGGACCTGGCACTATCCCTGAGCTTCTCTTTCAAAGCTATCTCCCTACTATTTGAGCCACAGCGCCACTTCCAGCCATTCAGAAAACCAGAAGTGGCTCTGTGGCTCAAGTGGTAGAGCACTCGCCTTGAGCTGAAGAGCTGAGGGGCAGTGCCCAGGCCCAGAGTTCAAGCCCCATGACCAACCAAGCAAACAAAAACAAAGACTCACAGAATTCCTTGCCTGGGCTGGCTTCCAGCCTCAAGTAGCTAGGATCCATGCTCCTTTTTTTTTTTTCATTTAATTTTATCATCATTATTAAGGTTGCCATTTCATGAGTTGGGTAGTGAATACATTTCTTCTTTTGGACAGTGTCCCCCCTTCCTTCGCTTTCCCTGCCCCCCCTTCCCATCCCCCCTACATAGTTCATTGTCCACATAGTGCCAAGCTCCTTTTCTTTGCTTTGTCTTTTTTTATATACTTTTTACGATCCTTAAGTAGCTGTATAAAGCCACCCTCCTCCTTCAAGGAGAAGAAGACAAGACATTTCTCTCCCTCACCTTGAGTTCTTTCAGGCCCAGGCACCAGACTGTCCTGGCACACCGTACCCCCTGTCAGGAGACTCCAAAAACCTCTTTGGGGTGATTGTCCTCTCCAGCGCTGGGCCAAGTCCAGTGACAGAGCTCGGGATGCCAAGCGTGTAAATTGCCAAGAGAATCAGTCCCATCTCTGCCCATCCTTAGAAATGCTGGGGAGTAGCCAGGCACCCGTGACTCACGCCTGTGATCCTAGCTACTCGGGAGACTGAGACCTAAAGCCAACCCAGGCAGAAAAGTCCATGAGACTCTCCCATTAATCACAGAGAAAGCCAGACATGGTGCTGTGGCTCAAGGAGCTCAAGGACAACACCCAGGTCCAGAGTTCAAGCTCCAAGACTGGCCAAAAAACAAAACTGGGGAATCAATTTGAATCCAGAGCCATACATACAAACACTGAAGCACTTCGATCAGCCCACCCACCACTCTGCAGGCCTCCCACGGTTCTAGGTGACATGGAGATCAGGGCTTCACGTACCTCCAGCTGCCCTGTGGGATGAGTACCGAGGGTTTTAAGACATGGTTGGCACACTGTTTGGCGCGTGTGGGCACGGAGCAGGGTCACCCTGCAGGACACCGCTGCAGCTCAGCAGTGCGCCCTGGGTTTCCTCACATGCAGGTAGTCGAGATCTCAAGCCTGACAGAGCACCTGCTGACAGAATGTGACAAAAGGGAGGAGTTTGGAAAGTGCCACCGCTGCAGCGAGGCCGTTCCCAAGGAGGAGCTGCCCAGACACATCAAAGCCAAAGAGTGCAACCGTGAGTGCCCCGCACGCACCCTGCAGGCCGGCCTGGGCCTGCCCCTGGGCCGCTGGGGGTGGAGTGACAGTAAAGGCTGTATGCAAGCATCATGTCTGCCAGCCACGCCACCTGCGTGTCCTGTGTCTCTCCCTTATTTAACTTTCAGATGTTCAGCTAAATTATTTGGCAGGGGCAATACTGGCGTTTGAACTCTGGGCCTTGATCTTACTAGGCAGATGCTCTACCACTGAGCAGCTCCTTCAGCTCAACTAAATCAGTTTTACTAAAATTGTTTCAGCTGCTAAGTCAGAGAAGCTGGCGAACCGATGTCCTCTGTGCCATGAGAATTTCACCCCCGGCGAAGAGGTGAGTGAGGGTCTGGGAGAAACATGGGCCTGACTGATGCTGACGTGAGGGCTGGACCTGTGCGTGGGAGTCACGCTCCTCCCCTCCCACCAGTCGCTTCCCCAGCACTCACTGGGGTCCACCCAAAGGGCCTCTGCTCTGCAGACAGTCAGAATGCAACGGCCTTGCTGGTCCTTGCAGTCATCTGTAGAGAGTGGCCTGGTCCTGCAGCCCACTGGCTGCTGGGGCTCATGCAGCCTGGCCCGTGCAGTTCACCCACTGTGGTTCCTCCCTGCCCCGGGCGCGTGGTGCATCCCTGGGGAGGACCAGCGCTTCCCGCTCTGCTCTTCCACCCTCGGAGGCAGCCCAGAGCCCAGGGGCAGCCCGAGGCTCTGCACTACACAGAGCACTGCGCTCTGTGTGGTGGGCATCAAGCTGAGCCACGTGCAAGCCATGCCTTGGAGGCTGGCTCCTGGCTGCCCCACCCCCAATTCCCCCTCCCACCCCCTGCCCGGCTCCAGAAGGAAGTGTAGACCTAGACTTAGGTTCATTGGTGCATTTTATATTCAAGTCTTTGGGGAAGCCCTGTGTGACCTCCATCCCTGTGGAATAAGGCGTGTTCCGAGTCAGTGGCCACTGTCCCTTGCCCTCACTCTCCTAGAGTACCACCCCCTTTGTGATGTCAGCGTGCGTGTGTGCACTTGGCTCCCTTTCCCCAGCTGCACCAAGGGGAGCAGTGCTGACATCAGCAGATGACAGCGCCTGCTGTAGTGTGTGCTTTGGAGCCCACGCCACCAGTTCAGCCTGGGGCGTAGATAGCCAGCACTGTTTGCCATCTCACCCCGCCCCGTTTCTAAGTCCGCACAGGGGGTTCTGTCTCCGCCCTTACCACCTGTGCTCACCCACGATCTCACCCAGGGCAGGGCTGGTTCTGAGGGCTCAGCAGGTTGTAGGCCCCTGGCGCTGTCTGGGGTAGAGCCCCACACATGACCTGCGTGGTGGTGGAGGTCATAGGCTTCCATGCCCCCTGCAGATGCGCCCTCACCCTGGCCAGCAGCCCTGTCTCAGGTCCCTGTGGGTCGCCACACTGACGGCCACCTCTTCCACTACAGGCCTGGAAGGCCCACCTGATGAGCCCCGCCGGCTGCACAATGAACCTGCGCAAGACCCACATCCTGCACAAGGGCCCAGTGCCAGCGCAGGGTGAGGCTTGTCCCCTGTGGGGCCCAGCACCACATCCCCGCACTCCACGCTCTGGCGCACCACTGAGCAGGAAGCCAGTCACATGGCCCGTGGCCACTCCGCCCAAAGTCCTCCTAGCGAAGGACAAGGCAGGCTCACAGTGCTCCATGACCCTCCCTACCAGATGGACTCCAAGGACTGGCAGACATGGAGCTAAATAGACCCTTAAGTAGTGCTACTACTTAATTGATAAACCACCCTGGTAGATGGACAGCTCATGAGCGAGTGCACCTTCACTTTCAGAGTGACACCGTGTGGAAAAGCGGGGGCCCGTGTCACTGCGCAGGCCGCACCGGGCCTGCTCCGGGCTCACGAGGCCTGATGCCATCCTAGTCCAGCCCCTCAGCAGTGAGGGGACCGAGGCCTATGGCTCCTTGTCCCCGAGTTCCTTGGCCAGGTGCCCGTTCTGTCACCATTCTGCTGGCAGCTGGGCAGTGGCTTCTGCCCTACGAAAGGCCTCCCTCTGAGCCTCTGTCCACTCTCCCATTCTCCTGCTGCCCTGCAGCCATCAGGTCCCGCTCCTTGCAGTGGTCACCTGTGGACTGTCACCAGTGTCCACTATGCAGACCCACCAGGCTGGGAGACAGCCATTGCCCCAGACCCCTTCAGCTCTGTCTGTTCCTCCCAGCCATTCGCCCTGTCCCAGTGAGGTCTGCGTCGCTGCTCTAACACAGTCCCTGTGCCCCGTGTGGCTGTCTTCTCTATAGGTGAAGGCCCCACCGCAGCCAGGTCGTGTCCGTCTGTGGCCAAGATCGGAAGTAAGATCCCCACCCCCAAAGGAGGCCTGAGTAAGAGCTCTCGCAGGACGCACACCCAGCGGTGACAGGCCTCTGCCTCCTGTGTCTTCATTTCCTGATTCTAAACACATCTGAAACTCTCTTGCAGAGAGTCCTGTGCTCTGTCCCTCGGCTCGTTGCGTCTGCTTTCACGTAAACAGTGTAGATTTGACCAAAGAACCCACCCAGGGCTAGGGCCTGGCCACACTGTGGCTGAGCACGGGCAGGAGGGCCCGCCGCCCAGGGCTGCAGCGGCCAGCACCACTCCCTTTCCTGCCCTTGGCCCAGGCTCAGCCCTGGTGACCCCAGGCCGATGGCTTGACTTCCACAGCCTGTCTGCGAGGCCTCCGGGCAGTACACGTGCTCACAGGAAGCAGGGCTACGTCTGGAGGATTTGTGTTCTCACCCAAAAAGAAATCAAGGTAGAAAAGGAAGCTAGAAGGCGCCATCCTGAGAACGGTCCCCAGAACGCTGCACCCCGTGCCGAGCACCGTCCCTGTGACTCCACCTGGAACATGTTCTACTCTGAGGGCTCACCACGCCTCGGTTCAGGGGTCCAAATCCTCCACACGGATTAAGTCGTGGAAAGTCAGGTTTCCTTGACATCTCTGATGGCCCTGCAGTCATCCAGCATTTGAAACCATTTGGGTTGTGACATGGAACGCCTCCCACACACACACACACCCTGACTGGCGCCTCTGCAAGCCCGACCTTCCCGCCAGCCCTGCTGTGCCCTGTCCCTTCTCCTCCACTATGCCTGGCCCCTTCCCAAGCTGTGTGTGGCCCGTCAGGAAGCAGCCATCAGCAGCTCAGACCACCCCCCTCCCTCGCGCACTCCGTCCCACGCCACAGGTCACCGCTCCCTTCCAGGAAGTTTGGTTAGACAGACGTGCCTGACATCTGCCTGGAAACCCAGCACCCCGTCTACCACTCCGCTTGCTTCCCGAGGCCGCTTGGGTAGGCTTTCAAAAAGCCATTTGGGAATGTTGGGGGTCAAGGAACTTAGTGTTATAGTGTGTAAGTATTTTTTAACTCCCAACCATGTAGTAAAAACTAAAAAATGCTAGGTACTCGAGTGATGTCCCTGGGTATGTCAGCGAGCATGGACAAGCTGTCTAAGACCCGCTGGGCACACAGCTTTACCAAGCCAGCGAGGTACCCACACCGCCGTGTTTACAAATGCTATGGTTCCAGACATGTCCACTGTTACTTTCTAATCCGTTTTCAGTAAAATACCTCTTTAAATAAAACAATAATGAAAAAGCTAACCAAGGAATTATTCTTTTCTCTGATGGAAATGCAGACAGACATGTAATGTTCTTCATCTGCTGTAACTTTAAGACAGTATTTTTCCGAATTCTTCAGTTAGCTGGTCTTTGCCGGGAATGTGGGAATGATTCTGACAGCCCGCTGTGTGTGGTGCGTGTGCCCCACACCAGGAGCACGGACAAAGACAGGAAATTAAAGTACTAACGCCCATCGGCCATGTATAAATACATAAATCTGGACACTAATGATTGGATTTTCATTTATGCATATGTTGTGAGTATTTAATATTTATTGTTATTTCATAATGATATTAAGTAATTTAAACATATCTATACATTTGACATGAGAACACAAATGTAAATACTTTTAATGAAAATTTGCAACTTTTTAATGTTTTAACATCCTTTTCTATTTATCTTTATTTCAGGTACCAGAATTATAAGTTATATATTTTTATTGTTACTGTTTTAGGGCTTAAGCATTGAATTCATCTCAAGTATATTAATATAATAAAAAGATCACTAAATGTTTTGGCACTTTTATTTGAAGATTACGAGACAATTCGTCAATGACTATGACATCAGTGGACATGAATGGAAAGTGGCTGGGCCTTGAGCCTTTAAGAGGGTGGACTAGTGGCCAGGAAGAAACTGTCCGTGTTAAACTGTCCTGACATAGCTGGCTCCCTGAGGTCAGCCATGGAAATGAGCTGGTGACATAGCCCTGAGGTCAGTCATGAAAATGAGCTGGTGCTGAAGAACAGGGTAGGTCAGAGCAAGCTGCTGGCAAACTTCCTGGTGTCAGAGTTCTCTTAAGTGACTATGGAGGAAGATGTCTCTCGGAGGGCTGTCAGTAAAAAATTTTAAAAAGGCAGCTTCAGAGGGGCTACAGCTGTATGCCATCTGAGCACGCAGAGTGCTGTTGACGGTTTTATACTTGCTCCTATTATGAAGTCCTAGTATACACACCAATGCAGACTAGCTTAAAACTGGAAGTCACAGCATTTAAACGGCATTATTCAGATGTGTGTTCAGCAATGGTGCATGTGTGGAGGGGCAGGATAGGGATTTGGACAGGACCCACCTGGTGATAGACAGTGCCAGTGCACCCAAAAGAGGGCCCCTCAGGAGCCCAATCAGAGTCCTACAGTCTGTACACGCCACCTCAACTGGCCCACTGGGGGCAAGCTTGTGCCATTGCTGTCAAAGACAGAGCAGCTGGGAAACAAGCTCCTGGCAACAAGGCCAGCAGCCAGACCACCTGGGACACTATCCATGCCTGACAGCACAGCCCCTCCCCGAAGGTGGACAGCAGAGGGTACAGAAGCCCGGGGAAAGCGGGCTTCCAGCTCTGCCTCTCCCTTTCCCAGGCATCATGAGGAAAGCAGTCTGCGGCAGCTCAAGCCCAGAGCCAGCTCACCATGGGCTGAAACCTCTTGAAATGGGACAAGAATAAACACTTCCTTTTTCGGCCTCTTTGTCCTGGCAACAGAAAGCTGACAAGCACAGGCTCCCCAGAATGTTGGTGAAAGAGTGGGCATCGTGGAGGCCAGCTAGAATTTATTTACCCTCCCACAGAAGTGGATCTACACCATTGTTTCTTGACGTGTGGCAGACTGACAGGATGGGATTCTAGCTCCGTTGGAAGCAGTGAGTAGCACAGACCAGGCTCCGGTGTCAATCCCCAGCACTGAAAGTGACCCAGCTCTTCCTTAAGTTATATGGCCAAGAGACAAGCAAACATTAAAGAGCTGGGCCTGGTGTGGCATTCCTGTAATCCCAGCAGACGGGAGGCTGAGGCTGGGCTCCATACTGAGACCCTGCCCTTAGGCAGGCGGAGGGAGGCTGTTAATGCAGTTCTTCGAGGTGAGCATCCTCTTGTGTTTACCTTGAAATAAGCTAAGCGGCTGGCCCGCAGCTCTGAGCACCCCACAGGCCCCGGAGAAGGCCGGGCTCCAGCTGCGCCTCCTTCCGCCTTCCCCGGGCGGGCGCTCGCCACTGTTCTGTGAGGAACTGGAGGTAAGTCTCAGGGACTTTGCTGCCCGGGCTGGCTTCGAACCGCGATCCTCAGGTCTCAGCCTCCCGAGGAGCCGGGATGCCAGGCGTGGGCACCGGCGCCCGGCCCGACACGACCGGATCACCGCCCGGACGGCGGGGCTCCGCTCCACCCG